TATTTTAGCAATAAAGCACTCTTAGTAAAATAGCACTAAGCTATTAAATCTTTGCTGAGGAATCTGGTAAAGCAACCAGAGCTTATCAAGTTTATGGGTTAGCAAAGCAAGATTTAGTGAGGCTTGACTATAGATGTTTCAGTAGATAAAGGATCTATTTTTGTATGACATATTGATGCTTCTAATACAATGCATAAATGTTTGCTTAGAATTTTGTTTGCTCCTACATATATATTTAAGAAAAATAGGGGCAATAGCAGTCTTTGGGATATATAATGGCACTTCCTGGTATTCCACAGTTACTGAGAGCCAGTGTTCACTGTAAGCTGAGTGCTTGGGTAGCCACCCCCAAGAGAATTAAATGCCGCCCACAACACACATCAGGCATTCATATAGTTAGTGAAATTCATATACTCTGTGATGTGCTGTAAGGGGCGTTCAGAAAATTTGAATCTGGCAAAGAGAAAATCATCATTTGCATTCACTTGTTTATTTTTCAATATAGCTCCCCCTGACATCAGTATACATGTTCTAGTGCAATGGCAGAATAGACAGGTGCGGTTTGGCTATGCTTATGTAATAGAAGTCCTTGTCCTGAATGTTCAAAAACTCCTCAACTTCTGTGATCACCACAGTATCATCACTCCAACTTTTTCCTTTGGTTGCTGTGGTCACTACAGTCTGGGATGTGTGGGGTGATGCACTGTCCTGGAGAAGCAAGAAGTTCCCTGGAAACTTGTCATGATGTCTTCTGATCAGCAGTGAACACTTTGGACACCCATCTTGCTGAAACCTTTTTCATGCCCAAGTCTTCACTGCAGATGGCATGCACGGAACGACTGCCAATGCCATGTCTCAGTTATGAACCTGACTGTTGGTCTTGTCATTCATCATTATCCTGTGGATTGTGTCAAGGTTTTCTGATGCTTTGGCTTGTCTGAGGCATCCTGTGGATTGTGTCAAGGTTTTCTGATGCTCTGGCTTGTCTGAGTCATCCTCGGTGCTGATTCTCCCTTTCTAAAATCCAACAGTTCAATAGACCTGTGTGATTTTATTTAAACTGTGACACATGGGCATCATTCCCCAGTGTTGCAATTGTATCCTCATGGATTTGCTTTGAGACGAAGCCTTTATTATTTTGATATTAGATCACCTCTGTGGTTTCATTATTTTCCAGTTTTCAGCTCTTCAGTGGCTATTCACTTTTACACGTCTTTGTATTCTGCACAGGGGAAAAAAGGCTGCTAACAAAAAAACACAAAATATTAATACTCTGGACTGTGACATACATTGGGTCCTACCATGTAGTTAAATAGGTCAGGCTAGACACTTTCTAAAAAGGTCTCTAGAGGTGATCCCGGTAATTACAGACCAGTAAGTCTGACGTCAGTACCGGGCAAATTAGTTGAAACAATAGTAAAGAATAAAATTGTCAGACACATATAAGAATATAATTTGTTGGGCAAAAGTCAACATGGTTTCTATAAAGGGAAATCATGTCCTACTAATCTATTAGTTCTTTGAAGGGGCCAACAAACATGTGGACAAGGGGGATCCAGTAGATATAGTATACTTAGATTTCCAGAAAGCCTTTGACAAGGTCCCTCACCAAAGGCTCTTACATAAATTAAGTTGTCATGGGATAAGAGGCAAGATTCTTTTATGGACTGAGAACTGGTTAAAAGACAGAAAACAAAGGGTAGGAATAAATAGTAAATTTTGAGAACGGAGAGGGACAATTAGTGGTGTTCCCCAAGGGTCAGTCCTAGGACCAATCCTATTCAACTTACTCATAAATGATCTCAAGAAAGGGGTAAACAGTCAGGTGGCAAAGTTTACAGATGATACTAAACTGCTCAAGGTAGTTAAGACCAAAGCAGACTGTGAAGAACTTCAAAAAGATCTCACCAAACTAAGTGACTGGGCAACAAAATGGCAAATGATATTTAATGTGGATAAATGTAAAGTAATGCACATTGGAAAAAAATAACCCCAACTATACATATAATATAATGGGGGCTAATTTAGCTACAACTAATCAGGAAAGAGATCTTGGAGTCATTGTGGATAGTTCTCTGAAGACGTCCATGAAGTGTGCAGTGGCAGTCAAAAAAGCAAACAGAATGTTAGGAATCATTAAAAAAGGGATAGAGAATAAGATGGAGAATATCTTATTGCCCTTATATAAAGCCATGGTACGCCCACATCTTGAATACTGCGTACAGATGAGGTCTCCTCATCTCAAAAAAGATATACTGACATTAGAAAAATTTCAGAGAAGGGCAACTAAAATGATTAGGGGTTTGGAATGGGTCCCATATGAGGAGATTTTAAAGAGACTGGGACTTTTCAGCTTGGAAAAGAGGAGACTAAGAGGGGATATGATAGAGGTATATAAAATCACGAATGGTGTGGAGAAAGTGAATAAGGAAAAGTTATTTACTTGTTCCCATAATATAAGAACTAGGGGCCACCAAATGAAACTAATGGGCAGCAGGTTTAAAATAAATAAAAGGCAGTTCTTCTTCACACAGCGCATAGTCTGTGGAACTCCTTGCCTGAGGATGTTGTAAAGGCTAGGACTATAAGGCTATGTCTACACTCGCGGCTTCTTGTGTGAGAAATATGCAAAGGAGACTAAGCGTGGAATATCGCTGAGCCTCATTTGCATACCTAATGAGCCGCCATTTTTGCGGAAGAGGCTCTTGCGCCAGAAGGAGCTGTCTACACTGTCCCTTCTTGCGCAAGAAATACCATCTTACGCAATGCCATTACGCTGATTATTTTAAGGAATAACAGCATTGCACAAGAGGGTTTTTCTTGTGCAATAGGGGGCAGTGTAGACAGCTTCTTCTAGCTCAAGAGCCTCTTCTGCAAAAATGGCGGCTCATTAGGTATGCAAATGAGGCTCGGCGATATTCCACGCATAGCCTCATTTGCATATTTCTCACATAGAAAGACGCGAGTGTAGACATACGATAACAGGGTTTAAAAGAGAACTAGATACATTCATGGAGGTTAAGTCCATAAATGGCTATTAGCTAGTATGGGCAAGGAATGGTGTCCCTAGCCGCTGTTTGTCAGAGGGTGGAGATGGATGTCAGGAGAGAGATCTCTTGATCATTACCTGTTCGATTCACTCCCTCTGGGACACCTGGCATTGGCCCCTGTTGGCAGACATGGTACTGGGCTGGAAGGACCTTTGGTCTGCCCCAGTATGACCATTCTTATGTTCTTATGACTCTCATTGTAATAGTGTTCTGCATTTTCATATCCTTTTTGTCCATCGATCCCTTTATCTCCAATTTACAGACAGGGGACATTGAGGCACGGAGATTAAACAAGTTGCCCATGGGTATACAGTCAATCAACAGTAGAAGCAAGAGTGTAACATAGGTCTTCTATCTCCTGGTCTGATGCTCCATCCCTGAAGATAGTTTTAGTTGACATGTTTTTTAAACGCCTATTAGCTACCATGTTTTAAAAACAACAATTTTCCTGACCTTGACAGGGCTTCAATTTAAATATACAGTGTATATTCTCACATACCATGGGTACATTGTAAATTTACCTGGTGGTATATAGATTTGCTTTAACTGTTGTTAACATCTTATTAGTGATGGGTAGAATTATTCAAAGAAGGCTCCTCAGTTGCTGAATTTGACCAACAATTCAATTCTTTAGTCAACAATTCTTGACTAAATTCCAAAGAGAGCATCTCAATTTGAAACAATTATTCAGGAAGAAACTGACTCAGATACTGAAGATTCTGAAATGAATGGAAACACACAGTCAAAACACCATCACTCCTCCCCCCCCCCCCTTTTCAGGTGATAAAATCTTTGAAAAACTACAAATGGGTTCTCTTGTGAGATGATCTGATCATATTGGGATATTTTATTTAATTCCAGTTGAATGTGTATTAAAAAATGATGCCATGAAGTACTGTATTTGTAATTGATTAAAGGTCAGTTCTGCATTTATATGCTATCACACACACAGCTTCTGTTTTTACTCATGAAAAACTCATGGTGAAGCCATTTAGAGTTTTGCCCAAGTAAGGATTGCAGGCTGGAGCCCGTGTTTGGCAAGAGTGAAAATCACTTAAATGCTGGCTCTTGTTAGTTACCATGGGTAAGGGTTTCCAGTATTGGATCTGTTTTATTATAGCTTTATGGCCCCATAGTGACAGCAGGCAGGCATAACGCCGACCTGCCAAGGAATACATCAGTGCAGGGAGCAAGTAGACCAAAAAGGGTGAGAATGATACAGATATTAATACTGAGGGAGATGAAGGCATGGAGAAGAGTTTAGGCTCTGTGGCTAGAATAGGGGTGGGCAGTAAGTGGCTTATGGGCCAGAGGTGGATTCCCAGGGTTAGTCGCTGAAGGGCCGCTGGCTCTTTATTTACCTGCATGTCTGCAGGTACAGGCGCTCGCAGCTCACATTGAACATAGATCCCTTCTCCCAGCCAAAGGGAGCGGGAGGAAGTGGTGTCGCTTCCCACAGCTCCCATTAGCTGGGAACAGCACCTGCGGTTAGTGGGAGCTGCAGAGGGTCATATTTGCAGATGCACAGGTAAATAAAGTCAGTGACTCCCCAGGGGCTAACCTGGCAAAGAGCCTCCAGCTTACTGCCCACCTCTGAACTAGGAAGAGCAGGCTGGGCTTTAGAAATGTATGTCAAACTGTCAGTAAACAATTATTTTAACAGACTGCTTACTTCCCCTTGCAATAATAAGTTATGCTCATCACAAGACACATCTTACCACACCTACAATAGAGATTATATGAGAGCATCATGATATTAGAGCTGTAAAAGAACTGATAATAAGAGTGATTATAAACAGAATGAAGAATAGCAGTGTGTGTTTTAAAAGACCACCTAACACTTTGGTTGGTTCTGATGATACTTTAAAATGTAAATCAGTAAGTAAGTAAATAAATAAGTAAAATCCATGTTTTAAAAACATAAACATGTAACTTTCTCTTCCTTTTTAGGTCTACCAGCCCCTTCTGAAAAGATATGAAGCGCTTGAACAAAAAGTGCTTTGCAATCCAATCCCATCTCATCTGGCTAAATAGCAAGAAAAAGAAAAATCTTCAAAAACTAACCTAAGGAATTTACTGCCAGGGTGAAGATGAGAAGAAAGTTGACAATGTACTGCAGTTGTTTTAAAGCATTCTTCTGTATATTGTGCTAAAAACAAGGTCTAATACATATTCAAATGTTTTTTAAAATAGTATAATTGGAAAAGTTTCTGAAAGATTGAAATCTTGCTGAAATCACGCAAGTTGTTCTTTGTGTCCACTTTTTTCTCAGATCCTTTTCAGCATTGTAATTGGTACTTTGAAATAACTGGATAATAAAAGGTTAATTTGTCTACTCAGTTATTCTGTTTACATGTCTGTCCATAGCTATATGTCTACCATATCTGTCTGTATCATAGGTATCTACTTAATTGTCCTGTCTTTCTGCCTATTTTATTTGTCTTCTATATCCATTTATCTGTTATAGCTATCTCTCTGTATGTCTCTAGTCTGACTACTGTTTTTATACCATGTTTATTACAGAAATTATATAAATGCTGCAAAAAACTAAGCACGATTGATTTTTGATTCTCTCTCCTTTTTCCTTAACATGTAGATATTTTATGAAGCTGCTAGAATAATCTAAAACAGAAGGTACATGAATTTCCTGAGAATTATGTTCCTTTGAAAAGAGAAATTAATATTCAAGACAACACTTTTTCATTTTCCCCTCTTAGGTCCCAGTGCTATTTTGTTTCCATTGTGGAAATGCCTTATTGACTGTTACCTGCTATTACAAACTCCTGTATTGGCTGCAGTGGATCATATCCTGCTATAACTTATGTCTATGCAAGTACATGAAAGGTTGCCTGGGAGTAACTATAAGGGCAGTTTGGTTCCTAGTCTGTAATTTGATCTCAGTGCTTTTACAATTCTCTGTAAAGTAATGGCTGTGACCTCCGAAAGACAGGAGACTTGGCTAAACATGCTACAAACAATAGAGAATGTCGAAACAAATAAGGATCTGTTAGAAATAAGCCCTCTGGTAGAAACTGCCTGTATGTGCTTACAATGTGGTACATCTGGGGGTGCCCAAACTGTGTCTGGCTGAGTGCTATATAGTCAGCTTACTAGAAGTCTAAATGTTAGATCTAATTTACAGAAAATGGGGCAGATTGGAGCTTCTTATATCTTTGATACAGGGATGTATCCTATGGGTAGAGAACACAGGTTTAAATCTGAATCACTTCACCTGCTGTACCTCATCTTACCCATCTTTAAAATGGGTCTAATTTCATTTAGCTATTTATAAAAGTCAATTAATGTTTGTAGAAGCTCTTTGAGATCATTGGAGGAAGTGCATTTTTATTAGGTGTTGTCACTGGAAGTACATTTCTATCCACTTGAAGCATGTAATGGTACCTGCAGGCTCTTGGGACTGCATCTGTGTATCTGTTTAGATTCTCTTTGAGACCTTTTACACTCAACCTATTGTAAGACCATCAGAACTTCCTTACTGGGTCAGACCAATGGTCCATCTAGTCTAGTATCCTGTCTTCTGACAGTGACCAATGCCAGGTGCTTCAGAGAGAATGAACAGAACCAAGCGGTTATCAAGTGATCCATCCCCTGTCATCCATTCTCAGCTTCTGGCAGTCATAAGATAGGGGCACCCATAGCGTGGGATTGCATCGCTGACCATCTTAGCAAATTGCCATTGATGGACCTACCCTCCAGAACACTTGTCCAGTCCTGGGAGAATACTTCATCCAGTTCTCTGGAATCCAAAAACCTCAGTTTGACTCTAGCTTGTCACTCACGTTACTTATTAGGCATGCAACGGTTCTTCACCTGTGCTAGCCAGGCCCAGACACAGTGGATGTAACCGTGCTGGCACCGCAACTGGCTCCAGTGACCGGTGTACCTTCCGGCACTGGTACAGGCACGATCACAGCACTGACTACATCATGAGGCTGCTCAGTGCCAAGACATCATATGGCCCCGCAAGTGGTGTCTGTGTAGCCGACAGCCGCACCATTGACGCTGGCATGACAGTACACACAACACAGAGACCTCCTGGTTTCTTCAACTTTCAGTTCACCGTTCCTGGGCACTGACATTTCTCCAGGTACGCTGGCACTGAGACCAGAGATATTGCTGGAGAGATTTTCTAGAGACTCTGAAGAGGATGTGGATGTACTGTTCTCTCCTACCAACTCCCCCCACCACTAATTATTCTGTATATTCAGCCAGGATTCATTCTCCACACTCCAGACACCAAAACACGCCAACCTGGTACAACAACCTATGGATGCCACCACCCATGCCTTATCCACAGTGGCAGTATTGGAGCCCATGGCAGCCTTACAAGAAGCACCAACAATTTTGCAAACAACCTTGTATAGCCCAACTGTTGTCTTCACCACAATCTCCATCTCCACAAAGACTACGTGCAATACAAAGGGAGCAATCTGACCCCACACCAGATACCTCGCCTGATACTAAAAAATTGTCCTCCTCAGACGAAGCTGTGATGCCCCCTCCTCCAATTGCAGCAGGCAGTTTCTCACATTTTCAAGATCTTTTTAAACGGATATCTGCCAAACTCACTATGCCCACACAGGAAGTGTCAGAGAACCAATATGAACTGACTGACATTTTATTAACTCGTACGACTTCCAAGATTAGCTTTTCTGATTAATCTAGCCATTGTTGAACCAGCAGAGACTATCTGGCAAATGCCTGCAACAGCCACTCCAATATGCAGATGGGCTGACAAAAAAAATTATGTTCCTCCAAAAGGATCAGAATTTCTTTATACCCACCCTGCACTTATCTCTTTGGTGGTGGAAGCAGCCCATCAGAAGACCAAGCAGCAGTTTAGATCTACCCCAGACAATCGTGACAGCAAAAGGCTGGATCTCTTCTGTTGAAACGTGTACATGTCCTCCACCTTATAATTTCGAGTGGCAAATTATGCAGCATTACTCAGTAAATATGACCATAGAAATTATTCAAAATTAAATGATTTTATTTCAGATATCCCTGAGGCAAAAAAGCAACAGTTGAAAGCCATGATTACTGAGTGTCACACAAGGATGGCACTTCAAGCTGCGCTGCCAACGCAGCAGCTTGATTTACTGCAACAGCTGGAGTCATGAGGAGGGCCTCCTGGTTCAGTTCTGCAGCCTTTCCTCGAGAGATCCAATCAACCGTAGAAGACCTTCCATTCAACAGCCAGAAATTATTCACAGCCAACACTAACAAAGTGCCGCATTCCATGAAGGTTCCTAGAGCACCACTCCAATCTCTTGGCATCCACAATCCTGCAAAAACGAGAAGACAACAATATAGGTATAAGCCATAACCTAGACTCAGATACCCTCAATATACTCAACAATATAACAGACAAGAGCAACATCAACAGAACTGTTCCAGAGGCAGGGGTCCAATGATGACACCAACCCTCTGACAGCTCTCAGCAATCACAACCTTCTAATAAGCAAATTTGAGTCATACTTCAAGGGTTGTGAAAATCTTTCACCCATTTCAACACCTTCTACACCATCTAAACTGTTCCAGCAGCACCATCTGCCACCCTATTTTAACAACTGGAAAAGAAAAACATCTGGATGAATGGGTTCTATAAATAATCAAGCTTAGATGTACTATTCCCCTTATGTCAGCGCCCCCTTCCCAGCCTCCTACTCAGTCCCTCTTCAGGGACCACTCTCACAAGGATCTTCTCTAACAGGAGGTTACACTATGTATTAAAGCAATTGCACTTTGGAATTGGTGCCTAAGACATGGCTTATATATCACTGCTGAACACTTCCCAGTCACCTGAACACCATGGCCGACACTCTAAGCAAAACACTGCCCAGTATGTTGTGCACTTCATCATGCTAACCCGTCCACATCTCCATTGCCTCTAATCTTGGAATATTTATTGCACCTTTAAACAAGATGGTCTTGCGATGAGTTCTATCAAGGTACACCTCACTGCTATAACCACTTTTCCTCTCAAAATAGATGATGCCTCAGTATTTGCACATCTTCTCACTAAGAGGTTCATCAAAGGCCTACAAGCACTTTACCCAGATGTGACCCCTTTGGCACAATCCTTGGGATCTCCACCTAGTTTTAAACACCCGTTCATCAAAGACCTCCCCATTTGAGCCAATGGCCACCTGCTCCCTATTGCCCCTTTCTATGAAAATGGCTTTTCTTGTAGCCTTTACATTGGCCAGATGCATGGGTGAAATTGCAGCACTCATGGCAGGACCTCCCTTGCACCACTTTTTTTTAAGGACAAGGTCACCCTATGCACTCACTGTAAGTTTTACCAAAGGTACGATCGTCTTTTCACTTGACTCAGACTATACACCTACCTACTTCTTTTCCAAAACCCCAATCTGACTCATTCATATCAAACATACACACTCTCAATTTACGCAGGGCACTTTTCCTTTTATTTACAATGCACAAGACCATTCAGATCCATTCCTAGACTGTTTGTCTCCATAGTGAATCATAATAAAGACCAGGCCATCTCAGCTCAGCGACACTCTCTCTGGATTTCGGACAGTATAAGTCTTTGCACTTCCTTAGCAGGTGCTAATCCTCCTGACAGTATAAGGCCATACTCAACTAGAGCCATGTCTATCTCAGTGGCATTTCTAGGGAAGTTCCCTTTAGCAGACATTTGCACAGCCACTATGTGGTCATCAGAACATACATTCGCAGAGCACTATGCACTTTCTCAAGGACTTTTCTCTAACTTCAAATTCCCTAAGGCAGTACTATCTGCTGCTTTTCTGTTGGATCTGAAGTCCCTGCTTCCTTAGAGAGATACAGCTTTACAGCCATCTAATGTGGAGCACCCTTGGGGACATCACTTGAAGAAGAAGAGGAGGTTATTCACCTTTGCAGCAACTAACGTTCTTCAAGGTGAGTGTTGCCATGGGTGCTCCACTAGCCTCCCTTCCTCCCCTCTACTTTGGAATTCTGGCCTTCTTGAGGGCTTTACCATTCTGGGGTAGAGCAGAAATGGGGGGGAGGGGTTGAGGCTTGTACATGTGCAACACCTGCACCGTAGGTGCACGTGGCAAGATGCGTGTGCATGTGCAGCTATAGGGACACTGCTCTGAAGACTTGGGAGAATGGGCTCAGCAGCAAGGCACTGACCTGATGTGGAGCACCCATGAAGACACTCATCTCCAAGAATGTCGGTTACTGCAAAGGTGAGTAACCTCCTCTTGTGGATTATAAAAGAATGTTTCTGTTATTCATTTGAATGGGCTGCAGATAACTTAGTGGACTTTACTATCGGTTTATGTTTAAATACATTATTCG